AATTGCATAGGATGGAATAACTGTTGAGTATCATTATATCAAAGCTAAATAGAATAAATTATTGATCTCAACAGTATTCACATACATTTATACAAATCAGATATTAAGTAGTTTGTTAAGTCTTGCAAAAAAATGAATTAAATACCTATAAATGAGATTTAAATAAATGCAATGATATATTGATTGATAGCTCCAATTTTTGAAAAATATACATAATACTGCATCATCATTACATATGACTTACTGCTTCATCATATCTTAATCATTGTCAACGTCGCAGAGACTGTTCATATCTTGACATTTTTTAATGCCTAGTGATTTGTGTTTCATCAAATGGCTTTGTACAAATATTGAGCTACGATGCTAAAGCACTGATGAGACTGATGGGAAAATAGTATAGTAAACTTATTTCTACAGGGACTTACTGTCATGGTTTTTCGGTATATTTTAGATCTTTACCTAAATACAAAACTTAATATGATATAAAAAAATATATGTGTGTTGTTATGTATGATGTTATTGTTTCATAAAGCCAGCTAGATATATTAATATATTATGTATATATTAAACTATAATATTACATATTCGGTTTATATATTAAACCAAAAAATTTAATTATTATTTCTAATTTTATTTAAAAATTTTTTGGTTTTCCCTTAAAGTTTCTAAATCGCTAATAGCACTGATAGCAAAGAATGGAAAAAATTAATATTAATTTATTTTTATTATTTAAAAAATTAATATTTTTAATAATATATCTATAATTTATTATTAAATAATAAATACATTATTCCTTTTATTTAATTTTATTTATATTTATTAAATAATATATAATTATTAAATAATAAATACATTATTCTTTTTCTTTATTTTTATTTATTATTATTATATAATAATATATTTTATAATAAAATTATTAAATAATAAATAATACATTATGCTTCTTATTTATTTTTAGTTATTATTATTATTAAATAATATGTTTTATAATATAATTATAAAGAGGTTTTTAGAACAGTAATGAACTACAACAACAAAAATTTATTTTATATTATTTTAATTAATTCATTTTTTGACTGGCCATACAGCTGTTTAGAGTATTGCCAAATACCCATCATCAGTGGTGTTGGAAATAATTCTTGTATTTAATTATTCATTAATTATTTTTTGAGACTATAAGTACTAGGAATCGAACTGGTGCCCTGTCAAATATGAAGCTAAGAGTCAGCGCACTTAACCAACTGACCCAAAGCCGTACTTGACTTTTATGTTCGCACATTTTTCTGGAGTTTTGTTAATTTTTTGGAAAATTTTAACAAATTTACTTGTTATGTTTGCATTAGAACGAAATCATAAATAATAATTGAATTAATAAATTATATTTTATTTTTAATTGTTTAATTTTAATACTATACTGTTTGTGTATAAAACTTAATCTAGGAACGTAATACCGATTAAATTAATACCGATATTAAATAAATATATTTAAATAAATTATTATTTGATGTATTATAAAATTTAAAAATTAGAATTTGATTTTAATAAATTGTGCATTTCTCAATTTATTTTTTTACTTAACTTAAGTTCATACAACTTTTTTACTGGTGTTCAAATTTAACCTTTATAAGAATATATTATAAATTGCTTATAAATTATCATAAATACATTGTAATGATTGCGTGAAATGGAAAGTGTGTCTTTCTTTTTGAAGCTACTAAAAATTATAGAAATATAATATATATATATTATTTTTCAACGAAATGTTTAACATTTTTAGGCAACAGAATGTCTGCCTACTCGGCGTACAAATCTAATTCGCATATGTGCACAACTGGGTCGAAGCCAGCATTTTTTATTGTTACTTCACTCTAAACATACACGTACCAAATTTTTTCTTTAGTGATTCACACCAAGCTTCATAGTTCATAACGACATTCGACCTTAGAGTATCTGCAAGTACCAGCGCGCTTGAATTCTCTGTACTTCTTAACTACGTCCTTTGGGCATAAGATAAGTTTATGAGCTGTCATTTTAAAAACACAGCACATAAATATTTACAAAAAATCGTAGCCTACATTTGGGCTGTTCTGACATTTTCTACAAAATGCTGAGAAACGTACAAAAAATGTTACACATTTTGTTTACATATACTTTGAGTTAAGAAAATAAAACTCTAGCAAAATAAAAACAAAAAAAAAAACATTTTATAACGAATTACATTATATGTGTTATAGTTGTTGCTTTTTTCTTTTGTGCATTTTATTTAAAACATGTCAAGTATACTTGTATTTGCAAATGAACACATCTCTTTCTCCGTGTCTCTTTCTATGAGGAGTGCATTGTATATCATGGGAGGAACATATTTTAGCCTGAAGTTGCTGACAGTACCATACACAACCGAAAACCAAGTGATAGTTACATTTTGACATTGACTTATAGGCAAATTTCACATTCACACAACCGAATGTACACATCCACATATATAATAAAGCCCAGTAAATTCACAATGCTTTCTATTTATATACAGCGAATAGACTGGCATATATATATTTATTCATAAACTAAACAGACATACATTTATGAATATTTCAGAACCATCAAAAATAAAAACAAAAATAAGCCAAGCTGAAAATACCTTAAGCTCTTTTCCATTTACATTCGAAAATTTCATATTTTTTCCGTTTCGTTCGGTTATGTTTTGTTTTAAAATTTATAACCGAAATGCTCAACGGGGCGTATGCCCAGTGATATTTGCAATGAGTACATTGAATATCATAAAGTGTACAACTCGACATATTCGCCGCAATATCTCAAACACATCCCATCCGCTGCATATTTCTTCTATTGCGCCACACTTCAATCTATTTTATCGTAATGTGTAGTGTCGGTGTACATTAAAATTTCGTTAATATTTTTCCTGTTACTTTTGGCACTGCTATAGCACTTTCCGTAGTTATCCTTGTTATTGTTGTTGTTGTTGTCGTCGTCGTTGTTATTGTTGTTATTGTTATCACTATTATTTTGTTGTTTCTGTTATAAAATTTTGATGATGTTATGTTTTCCAAGCGTGACGTAGATTTTAAGTGCGTTGGTTCCATTACGTTGGCTTCATCTGTAAATGGCACACATCATGGGGTCCTCCACAAAGCAAACGCAAAATTTACATGAGGTTTAAGGACGTTCGAAATTTTACAATACATTCTGCTTAATTCATTTGTTTTCTTGGTAAATGTTTGCGTTTTTTAAGTGAAACCTCAATATGGATTTTGGTACGTTGGTAAAAAGTTTTCCACAATTATTTGTACTGAAAAGTGTAATGCAAATATGTTAACCACGACATGTAAACGTTAAGTCACTCCTACTTGGGTTAGGTTAATTTTTTTTTGAAAATCAGATGTTTTGAAGGCGGAAATATAAATATAAAGGCGATTGGTGTGTAAGTGCTTTTTAAAGAATGATGAAATATTACTTAAGGTAGAGTTATTTTTTGACAATCGGATACTTTGAAGGCGGAAAAGTAAATATAAAGATGGTATTGGTATTCAAAGGTGTCTTGAAAGGAAATAAAAATATTATTTTATTAAAGTGTTTTAAAGTAAACTAAGTTAACTTTTAAAAACAAACAATGACTAGGGTGCTAAGGTATATTTACAAACTTTAGTTAAGCTAAGTATCCAAATGAATTTATCTGCAATCTTATACTCTATCTGGTAATGATAATAAGAATCAATATAATTATATATTCTTGAGCTTTATTCACAATTCTCCTTACTGAGCAACAATTTAATAGTGTGATGTATGTATGTAGTTTTCTTTTTTGTTTGATAAAACGCAAATTAGAATCTGAAGCGAGACCACGTGTGTATGTCACTGTAAGAAGAGCTTTAATGAATTATAATAATGAGATATTCAGTTGTTTTATAGATGTCTTGTTTGAAGCCCAATATATTGTACTGATGTAATAAATATGTCGTTTCTTTCAAGAGAGTCCAGTTCTAAACGGTTACGAACATCGACAGAATCAAACAACTTTAGCGTTCTATCTTATGTACTTTAGTATACTTTAATGTACACTTTTAACTCTAAAGTTTTTGTTAAAATCCTTATTTCTGATATGCTATCAAGCTTTCAAAATACGCCCAATACAATATTGGGCGTATAGATAGGTGCTCAGTGCTCAGTGCACCTGAGCACTTTTACTCTCTATTAACTGCGAGGTTTCTTCAAAACCCCTCTTTGCGCCTTGACTGGATTATTGTTTATCACTTCTTCAGACTAAGCAATAATTAACCTCAGATCTGCATACCTCCCGAAGGAGCCTGTAACCATTCTGAGATTTGATAACGCGGTGTTAGTAAGTCTGTCAGATATCGCAAATAATTTCAGGGCTCTATCCTTTATGTATTTTTTGATGGGATCAATTTTGAGGTCCCTAAGGATGCCATTCGTCCTAATGTACCAAGGAACTTTGAAAAGTCTTCTCAGAGCCTGGCTTTGTGCAATTTCTAATTGGTGAATAGTAGTGTTTGAAGCTTTGCTAAACGCTACACAACCATATAGACGAACAAATTATTTGGTTATATATCAGTTCCCTGTTCTTAGCATTGAGGTTTTCTTTTCTAAGTAGCGGTTGGAGGTCATGAAGAATTTTGGTACAGCTAGTTCTTTTCAGTTGAACATGTTTAAGCCATGTGAATCGTTTGTCCAACGTGATAGTTATAATATGTGTAGGAAAAAGAGTAAGACTTTTTTTCTGAAAGTATGAGAATAATTGCAGAAGTTAAACTTGGAGAATTAGTCTGAAACCATAGAAGGAGCAGAATAGATTGGTAGGTCGCAGCAAAAAAGCCCCCAATATAAAGTATATTTATATTTAAAGAAAGTTTTTATATTTTTTTGAATATATTTTATTTCAAACGGTTAGATATGGCAAACATGTAAAATGAATAAAGAAATGTGCAAAAGTCATATGAAAATATTAATTTAAAAAATATCTGTAAGTTAAAAATTTCGTTAACCCAACTGTTTAAATAATAAATTTTTGTTTTCGTAGTTAAATGTTTAATTTACGGAACATTGGTATTGTTTGAATATCGTTAGCTTTAAAGCCCATATTCTTAAAGACAAAGTATATCATTTTTGTTTTATTTCTTCTCTAAGTTTTTAAAACTCCAAAATGAATTAGTTTTTGTTGGATTTGCAGAAAATGGAATATGATTCATTTCAAGGTCCTGTAAGTCATCCAACATTTTTGCTTTTAAGTCTCGTTTCTCAGCATAAATCTTCGTTGCAGCATACATTTTATTAACAAATTCCGGTACTTGCTTTTCTGTTATTGCAGTCTTAATCCTTTCAGGTAGAGAAACAACAGGATCATCAAAGTATGTTAAAACGAAATGAACACCCGGCTCGTCGCATCTTCTAAAAGGCATCAGTATCATAAGACTCCAATAGTTATTCACACGTACTATACTTTTTGTTTCTGGATGGCGAGGATCTGTAGTGCTACGATTACATATCATCATTATATTTGAATGAGGATCATGAAAGTATCGTCGAGTAAACACATAATCACGATTGGAAAAGAATCGTGGCCACCCCATCTCCCAGTATATAAGATTAGAAGTATGTTCTTCGGGATCCTCTTCAATAACTTTCAATTTAACAACAGTGTTGTCCCATTCTTTTCTATATTCAAGATCAGTTTGTACATGAAAGAGATCAATTGCGGATATATCGCTAAAACTGGAATAAATCTTATAAATGTATTTATTTTCTCTTTCTTCTTTTCTCCAAATAGATATACCGCCCTTACATAAATATGGTTCCCATAAGGACTCCTCATTCATTTGGATCATAGCAATGCCATCTTCCATTTCTGATTCTAAATACAAGGACTTTGAGAAATTTATTCGACTGAACTCTCCATTACCAAGTGACAGACATTTTTCATTTTCTATTTTTTCATTTCCTATTCCACAGTAGCAATACTGCATATTCTTTTTTAAACATTTCGGACACAAAGTATTGAAGCATAAATTTCGCATAAATTCGATATCAGTATAGAACCTATCAAAATTTCTTAAACTGATTCTCTCCTTCTTCCAATCAACATTATACGACGTGGCTGCAGCATTTAAACCAACCATACTCATAAGTATACCCTTGGAAGTAGTTGCCTTTAAGTCTAATTGTTGCTCTGCCATTTTTTGTCTCAATTTTCGGGGACTGTAGATTCTTCTGTAATTTGCAAATAAGTTCTTGATACGTAGAGTTTGTTGAATGATTGGTTTAAATTGATAATACGAAAAGCTTTTATAAATGTGATTTATATATTTTAAAGCCACATTACCAATGACCATGATTTCCCTAAATAGAGAATCTAAAATATTCATAGGTTTAAATAATAATCAACATATTTACTGGCAGGAGGAGTAGGGCGCTTGTGTTCACTCCTCGTACTGTTAGTATACTCCGAACTTTGCTATTACATTTATATCTTTTCCGAAAGTCCGTACGTCTGAGCACCCATCAGTTTCATTTTCAAAACAATACCATTAATTTTGGGATATAATTTTCAAAAATATTTTTGTGATTTAAAACAGATCGAAGCCAACTTAATTAATTTTTTTAATATAAGTAACTGTCAAAGTGACTGCAAAACTTTTAAATTATATTAATTGCTTAGTTTCATTTATTGCTACTCAGAAAGTCACAAATTTCTCACATATGGCCATAATATGCAGACAGTCATATGATAAGTGGTCCCGTCAGTCTTTCGTACATTAAGGCATGTTATGCAGTGAGTCAAATCACAATTCTTGATTTTCTTCGGTAACTTAATACTTTAGGCAATATTTTAATCAATTTTTGCTTATGTTTAATTAAAATGGTAAAATTTTTATAAATGTTTTTTTAAAAGTCAAAAATTTGACTTTTAATGGTGATTTGACCATTGGGACGTGACATAGAAAGTCTCGACCAAATCTTAATCGAAATATTTATCTTGCACTCATTCTCAGATTGCTAATTTGCATTGAAAACATGTTCCATAGAAAATGGGTTGGAAGTTCTCTCTAGATATACTTATTAAATGTGTTAGTTCTGAACGGAAAAATGTCTACATACAATTTTGATTATTTATTTTATATATCGGATACAGTGAAATCTTATTTATCAATTCGATTTTTTTTGTGTGATGGTTGCACTGTTGTGCGTGTTAATTAACAGACAGCTGCTGTGTTTAGTTTTGTTTGCCGATAAAATAAATACGACACAGATTAGTATGTGTTGGCGATTTATTGCGTGTCAAAAAGTTTTTCTAAAATTTTATATTTAAAGTTAAAATACATAAAATAAAGTAAAGCAATAAAGCATTGAAAGTTAAAAAATGTCTTTTAAAAAGACACCACATCACGTTGATGACTGGTACAAATGGTACTATTCTTATAAATGATACAATAGTTCGGGAAGACGTGGAAGATGGCTCAAAGTATTAGCTATCATACTTTGTACTGACCAATTTTACTATAATAAAACTTTAAAAATTAAATAAATAAATAATAAATAACTGAATAAATGAAAATGTCTCACAAATTGTAAGAAGTGGTATTTATGAATATTTTGTAATGAAAACTAATACTTTTTTCAGAGCAAGTTTGTTCATCTAATATGAATATCTCTCTGATATAGCAACCATTAATGTGACCCTGTAATTTTTATATTTCGCAAACTTAAAGTGACATTACACAGATGAAATAAAGATAAAACACTGCGTAGGTATCAATATTATACTTAAAAACGTGTTCCAGTAATTTTTTTGGAAATGAAACGTTACGGTCGTAAATGTTCTGAAGACTTCTCTGAAGAAGATAGAATAAACACTGAAAAATAAATAAATAATTTTTTTTAAAAAATGGACATTAGGATTACTACGTTGGCAAATAAATTGTGGACTTTCTTAAGAAGACAGTATACGGATTCATGAGTAAATAAAATTTTTTTTTAAAAATTAAGAATGCTTTTTGATTTAGAAAGACTGAACTGCAAATAAAATGAGGTATTTTTTTATGAAAATATAATAAGTATTGATGATTAAATACAGATTTTTAAAAACTTGTAAATTATCGTTATCGACTGTTCTGATCACACCTCGTATTTGCAGTTTATATCGGTACAGTATTATATTTTTTATTGTTATAAAAATTTCAAATAATATTCAAAAATATAAAATCAAATATATTCTTATAATAATAAACAAAACTCTTCATTTAAAATTGAATTATTTTCCACACCAAAACTGTATAATTTAAATAATAAAAAACAGAACTAAAATACCATATTTATGCGTTCTTTTGAAAATGAATATTTTTAAAATTAATATACCCTCCCGATAAAATAATTTTCTCCTGTTGTTGCAAGTAAGACCTTTATATATAAAATTAATAATATAAATCTATATTTATGGAGCTAATAAATACAAATATATTTTTAGGCGTATAAACACACAGTGCCCACTTACGAAAATATTTACGAGTTTTATATAAAAACACACAAAATTGCCTTTATTATGAGGCACATTTACTTACGTTTGTAAGTCTTTGTTTGTAAATTGTATATTTCTATTTCTGTTATCCTTTTTTACTTTTCTGAGTATCCTTCACATTTCCTTCCGTACAAATATTGACCGAATTTATTGTATTCACTTTGAGTGCAGCCACTAAAAAAATATTTTTCGTTTCTTTAAATTCGTTATGGGTTCCTTTTTTTATTTTATTTTATTTTTATTTGTTTTGTTTGTTATTGCTTATTTGTTGTGTTTTCTTTGCTTTTTCCTTTTTTCGCTGTTTTTGTTTTTTTTTTTTATTTTTTTGTTATATTTACACCATTTTGCTCATACAAACAAAGTTGCAATATACACACGCCTACAAGCCAAACATGGACCGAAACATAACAATCAACGCACCTTCATTATTTTACAACGGAATTAAGTACACTGATACACTGATACACACACAAACAGGGATACAAACACCGACGTGTAAGCAACAATGACACAAAATGGCGAAAACGTAGACAACAAAATATTTAAAGCGTAACAAAATTACAAAACCAACGAAATCGCCGCAAAGAATACACGTGCAATGCTAAAGGATTTTCTTCTTTACGTTTTGTATTCGTTTTTGTTTTTGTTTTCTATTTTATTTATTTTGCTTTTCATGCTTTTTATGTCGTCATTTCTGTTTTTTCTTTTGCTTTTCACTTCGTTTTAGTTTTTTTATATGTTGTTTGTTTTTCTAAAAGTTAAAGAAATTTGAATTGAAAAAAATTTAATCAACAAGCGATTTTACCGACAAAAGGACTCTCTCGATGCACATCCCGCTAAATACTGATGTTAATTTTTGCCTATAGCAATGTGAGTCCTTGGCATTAACGTGAATTGTTCTTTGACGTCACCAAAAGCTTTTCCACTCCAGCTTTTGAGAATGCGAGAAAAATTTTATTAGAGAATTTCGCGTGGGAGAATAACGTCTCAGTAAAAAGTGAGTGTGCTCACACACTCTCACTCTCGCACACTCTCATGTTCACTTTGCTCTACGTGGACATTGTTTACATTTTTGCTGTTGTTTTTTGTTGCATATGCGGCAGGCGCATGTTTACTATATTATTTTGAATCCGCTTTAGGGTTTGTTGCTTTATTTCCGTCTAAAAGTAATACTACTTCTGTTTGCCATACTTGTGTTTGGTTTAAAATTAACTTGACATTCTGCACCGCGTGGGCTTAATTAAATTTCACGTGTATTCCACTTAGTCGCTCTTAATATTTTAGTTTATGAAAGTAAATAATTTTTAAATAGAATTTATTATAAATAAATAAGCTTATTTATATTAATTTTTTTTATTATATTATTTAAATTGTTATTAATCAATATATTTATTAAAATCATTCCATTTACTATAAAAGAACATAAAAATTTAAATTATTGTGATTATTTGGTAAATAAACTAAATAAAAGATTTTGCCAAATTGATATTCGAAAACCAATTTTTTACATTTAAAGTCCATAATATATGCTAGTTTCGAACATTCAGTTTAATTTTAATTAAACCTATTTAGAATCGCTATGCTTCAGAAGAAAAGAAAAATGGAAATAAAATAAACCCATATCTTTTTTACAAAAAATATGTCATCAAAATGAAGTAATTACTTTTGGTTATCCTTCTTAATCTGATTTTGTTATAGGAATAAACAACAAAGTCATTCAATTACCATTCTGGTTTTCGTCTCACATTGCACTGTTGTCATCCGAATCATGGTAGTGCCTTGAAGATGTGATGGTGGTTAGTGATAATCAGAGCCTCCTGGGTTCCACCGTAATAGCTCTCTAGCTATATTGTTGCCAGGTAATTATTCGCTTTTCTATTTCCTCTGTACTATAATACTATAATATAATACTGTACTATAAGTTTAAGACCATAGATAGTACTAAGTGTAAGAATATAATTGTCGCTTACATTTATACATCTATACATTGTAATTGAATGAAAGGAAATTAGTCCACAGCTTACAGATTAAGGAGATTTCAAACAGTAAGTATAGATTACTTTATACCAAGCCACTTACCTTATTGAAACAGATAAACATAGCATCTGTATCTTTTTCGACGGTATCTATTATTATAATATTGTCGAATACATTTTAGCTCTTCGTTTTGGTACCAAATGAAAAATACACATGTAAATCATATCTAAAGCTTATGATATGAGATATTAAAATACAGAGTATCCCAGAGTTAAACGTAGTTTTTGGCATAGTAGAACCTCAGAGCCTTACATTTATATTGATGTCTATTATCAATAACAAAATCCGCAACTATTTCGTAAGTTCTGATGATAGTTTTTTTTAATCAAAATTAATTTTTTTTCTTGAGTTGAGGACAAGATAGCACACAGCCAGTTACCAATTGTGCCAAAAGAGAATAGGTTCCTCTATTCAAACCAAACGAAATTAGAAATAACCATAACAAAACAGGTTATTCTAACATTAATCTCTTAGTTGCCATACTAAATATTATAAGATTGGAAAGCAAAAGAGCATAAATATTGCTCATAGCTAGGACGTCACAATGCAATAATCTTGCTCGAGTTTCAAAAATTTCTAGATAATGAAGAAGGATAAACGTAGTATATATATACCCTAGATATAAAGATGTTACTCGCTTAAAAATTTAATAAATACAATGAAACTAAATTGAAAATATCAATTAATTAAGCAGCTAAAGATAGAATCAATAAAACAGATATAAGACTTGACTAATTGTACATTATAATAAATTAATTTTCCAAAAATTTAATTTAATTTCAAATTTATTATTGAGCATAAGACTAATACTCTAAAACAAAAAAATAAAAAAGAGAAGACAGCAATTTGTAGGACAATACACTATACTCACTTCAAGTTGCATTTAGTAAGCGTCACTCAAA